CTGGGACTACAGGCACATGCCACCATGCCACCCTAATTTTTGTATTTTTAGTTGAGACTGGGTTTCACCATATTGGTCAGGTTAGTCTCGAACTCCTGACCTCATGTGATCCACCCGCTTTGGCCTCCCAAAGTGCTGGGGTTACAGGTGTGAGCAGGCATGTAACCATGCCTGGCTGAAACTGGCCCAATTTTCTAATAGGCTGGATGCCCATGAACTGAAGCTTGAGAAACTTACATGTGTAAGTTTCAATGAAATGAAATGCACCTGCTGCCTGTCACCCAACTCCTATTCCTTGCCCCTCCTGTTTTCCATCCTGGCTATATCAACCCTTAACTTTAATTAGGCATGATTAGTGTCCTTGCTGAGTTCTGGCCTGCTGCAAAGTCCTGCAGTTCTATTATGCAGGCTTGCAGGAGGCAGAGCTGGCTCCTGGTTCCTTTAGCTCCTAGATCGAGGGGGCCATCCCAGGGAGTGAGCTCTGGGGTTCTGTATGTGAGTGTAGCTTATTTTTAATGGGCCCAGCTGTGGGCACAACTTAGTTATAATTTGTAAAAATGTACACAGATGACCCATGGGTTTCCAGTTGGATTCTTGCCTTGGGCCCTTGCAAATATTAGGGGCGGGTCTCCTCCAGTGGTTTCAAGCACCTGTTTGGGACTTGTGGACTAACCTTTAAAGGGATCATTTGCATTGCATATTGACAAGAATCGCTTGAATATTCAATGTAATGAGTGTAATTAATAAAAAGTGAATACCTTTTAAAAAATCAAAGGATGATTAACCTTTGATGTGTGCCCCAAGAAAATGATCTGAATGTTTGAAGCTATGGAACTGTGTTGGTTCCACAAAAGTGGATATTTGGGCCTGCCACAGTGCTCATGCCTGTAATCTCAGCACTTTGGGAGGCAAAGGCAGGTGGATCGTTTGAGGATAGGAATTTGAGACCAGCCTGGGCAAGGCATAGGGGGACCCCAACTCTACAAAAAATGTAAAAAGAAATTAGCCAGACATGGTGGTTGTGGGTGCCTGTAGTCCCAGCTACTCAGGAGGCTTGAGCCTAGGAATTTGAGGGTGCAGTGAGATATGATCGTGCCACTGCACTGCAGCATGAATGACAGAGCAAGACCCCATTAAAAAAAAAAAAGGTTTATGTTTGAAACATGTGGATAGGAGATATGTAAATGTGACTGTTTCCCAAGTGGTGCAATCATCATTTGGGAACCCATTGGTGGGGAGATCCCACTCTTTGCCCCACAAATGAGACGCAAGCAGATTCTGTCAACTCTGGCTATAAGTGTCTGCCTCAAACAGGAAATCTTCTGCTGCCATTTTCTCCTAAGTCAGTGGAAGTCCATCTTGCATTTGTTTTAGCCCAGTGGACACATGGTGACTTCAGATCAAAGAGGTTTTTACTGTCTTCCTTCCCTGTTTCTCCTCCCCAAACTATATGGAGCTAAGTTAAGGTCTTAAGGGTGGGGACATAAGCTTGTTCTAGTGTAGCCCCACCACTGGAGTCTGAGTAGGACTTTCTGAGTCCAGTGCTGTGTTGTGGGAGTCTCTAGTCAACAGAATCTGTGGGCTTTGAACTTTCTGCTGTCAGAGGCGTTGGAAACAGAGCGACTCCATCTTGAATAAGGGCTGGGTAAAATGAGGCTGAGACCTGCTGGGCTGCGTTCCCAAGCACAGGATGAGATAGGGGTCAACACAAGATATAGGTCACAAAGGCTCTGCTGTACAACAGGAGGCAATAAAGAAGCCAGCCCAAACCCGCCAAAACCAAGATGATGATGAAAGTGACCTCTGGTTGTCCTCACTGCTCATTATATGCTAATTATAATACATTAGCATGTGAAGAGACACTCCCACCAGCACCATGACACTTTACAGATGCCATGGCAATGTCAGAAGTTACCCTATGGTCTAAAATGGGGAGGAACCCTCAGTTCCTGGAATCGCCTGCCCCTTTCCTGGAAAACTCATGAATAATTCGCCTCCTATTTACCATTAATCAAGAAATAACTATAATATGCTAGGTCAAGTGGTCCATGCCACTGCTCTGTTGATGGAGTAGCCATTCTTTCGTTTCTTTACTTCTCGAATATACTTGCTTTCACTCTACTTTGTGGACTCACCCTGAATCTTTCTTGTGTGAGATCCAAGAACCCTGTCTTGGGGTCTGGATCTGGACCCCTTTCCAGTAACGCTGCTATGGGTTTATGCTGTAGCCTACCCCAAAGAGCACAGGAGAAAGAGGAAATAGCAGAAAACAATCCCAGTCCCACCAGGGTTGTGGGTCAGGACAGGGGATGGCAGAGTGAATACCAGGGCAGGGAGAACCCTGCGGAAATGCGCTCCCAGCCCTACGTGGCTGGATCAGGCTGGATCAGGAATTCCAAAACTCTCAGCAGGAAATCTGTGTGCTCGTTAAGTCCTCTCCTTAACCTTAGCCAAATTCTGCTGCTACTGGTGAAGCCTAGGAGGAAGAGCCATCTTCCCAGACCAGAGAAAAATACTTTGTCAGAAAAGTTATGGGCCTCTCCGAAGAACTTAAAATCAGCTATACAAGTTGTGAAGTAGAAGTCACAGTTCTGTTTAGTCTCTGACAGGGCAAACGTCAAAATGTTTTATCAACATAGGAAAGAAAAACAAAGAAAATAGGTCGGTCGCGGAGGCTCAAGCCTGTAATCCCAGCACTTTGGAAGGCCGAGACGGGCGGATCACGAGGTCAGGAGATTGAGACCATCCTGGCTAACACGGTGAAACCCCGTCTCTACTAAAAAATACAAAATACTAGCCGGGCGAGGTGGCGGGCGCCTGTAGTCCCAACTACTCGGGAGCCTGAGGCAGGAGAATGGCGTAAACCCGGGAGGCGGAGCTTGCAGTGAACTGAGATCCGGCCACTGCACTCCAGCCTGGGCGACAGAGCGAGACTCCATCTCAAAAAACAACAACAACAACAAAAAAAAAAAAAAGAAAAAAAAAAGAAAATATATGGGCATTCTGGTAAAACCCCACTGGTGACTAACACCATTCTCTATTGAGAAGATGCAAGTAATCTGTGTCATCTCTCAAAATTTGGTCAAGCTACATCTCTAAGTGTGGCTAATTTTGCTCTCCACACTGAATCTTTTTGAGCTGCTCATGTGAGGGGTGAGAAAAGAAAACAGCGTTTATCTGAGTAATGCAAGTCCTTTTAATGATCAGGCCCAGAGAGACATTAAAATGAGGCAGTATCACGTCCTTCCCTCCTCTTTGAGCTGCGTGCTCATCTCTTGACAATGCTTGCTTTTGCCACAAGTAGCATAAATTAACCTAATAATGCTGCATCTGACACTATCCTCCATACCCTATAGCCAATCACTAATCAATATTATTGATTAGTGCAAAGGCACAATCATGGCTCACTGCAGCCTCAGCTTCCTGGGCTGAAGCAATCCTCCCACCTCAGCCTCCCGAGTAGCTGGGACTAAAGGTGTGCACTACCATGCCTGGATAATTTAAAAAAAAAAAATTATGTAGAGTTGGTGACTTGCTATGTTGCCCAGACTGGTCTTGAACTCCTGGCTTCAAGTGATCCCCCCATCTTGGCCTCCTAAAGTGCTGGGATTACAGGTGTGAGCCATTGCACTTGGCCTCATTATCCTTTTGAGTGAACTCAACACACTTGCTGAAGAAATTACACGGAAATCCCAAATCAGGTTCTCTCTGTGCCTCGACCAATAGAAGGCTCATCTCTGCAGTGAATTTTGCTATTGCTAATCCCATGCAAGAAATGGGAGCTAATGCATATTGTCTCCTGACTGTGTGTTGGGCCCTAAGCTAAGTGTAATATGCGTTAGTTTACTTAATTTTCATGACCCTGTCAGGTGGATGGCATTATAACCTCCATTTCAGAAAAAAATGAAGGAAGCTAGGAACTAGAGAGGTAAAGCCACTTGTCCCAGGTCCAGCCCAGCTAGTAAAGTCAAACAAGGGTCAAAGCCCAGATTCCAGAGGCCTTGGCTCCAAGCCACCACACTCTCTTGGCTCCTACACGCTGTAGTTGTGACAGTTCATGTCATATCCAGGTTACCGAGTTTGGAAAAATCCTACAGAGACATTGGTCCTATCCCAGTAGGATTGAAACTGGGAGGGAAGTCAAAGGAGAGGTGAACTTGGGTTTGTATTTATTCTCCTAGGCATTGCCCCTTGGGACCTCACACATTAGCATCTCACCTCACCCATTAGCACTCCGCCATTAGCACGTCCAATCCCCTCCCGGGTAGGTGAAAACCTGCATTCAAGCTGGCGAAAGTTCCTTAGATTTTTCTCCTAAACTGACTAAAAAGAACTTTTCAGTTTTGACTCACCTACTTTTCCGTCTCTTTTCCTCCCTCCCTCCCTCCCTCCCTCCCTCCTTCCCTTCCTGCCTTCCTCCCTTCTCTTTCTTTTCCTCTCTTTTTCTCTTTTTCTTTCTCTTTCTCTTTCTCCTTTTCTTTCTCCTCCTCTTTCTTTTCAGAGACAGGGTCTCACTCAGTCACACAGGCTGGATAGCAGTGGTATGATCATAGCTCACTGCAGCCTCAATCCCCTGGGCTCCAATGATCCTCCCACTTCAGCCTCCTGAGTAGCTAGGAGTACAGGTGTGTGCCACCACAAGCAGCTAATTTTTTAATTTTTTTTGTAGAGATGGGGTCCTGCTATATTGCCCAGGCTGATCTCGACCTCCTGAGCTCAAGTGATGCTTTCTGGCCTCTGCCTCCCAGAGTGCTGGGAATACAGGCATGAACAATTCCCCACCCCACTCCCTGCTTCTTCTTTCTGTTTCTAATTCACTGACACTAAAGGGGCTTAGCTCTCAGAACCACATGAATGTCTCTGTACCGGCACATGGGGCTTCTTCGCACTTGTCCATCTCTAGGGATGGATGCTGAGGAACCTCCAACTCAGAGGCAGCTGGGTGATGGCAGGGGCCCATCCCTTCCTCCCAGAGAGACTCCAAAAGCCGGGGAACTTACGCAGGAGATACTCAGCTGTGTCCTGTTCGTAGTCAGCATCTTCAGGGAAGTGATCGATTTTCTTGCACACACCTCGGAAAGCCCCTGTGGAAACAGATAAGGGTTCTGAGCCTGGGGGAGGAGACAGAGCTCCGGGGGCCCAACCTGGGTCCTCACCTCTGGCTGTTGGGGGCGGTAGGGTTGTTCGGCTGGTAGGCCCAAGAGGCACCTTTATTTTTTATTAGAGACAGGGTCTCATTCTGTGGCCCAGATTGGAGTGCAGTGGTACAATCATGGCTCACTGCAGTCTTGAACTCTTGGGCTCAAGTGATCCTCTCACCCCAGCCTCCCAAGTAGCTGGGACTATAGGCGTGTGCCACTATGCCTGGCTAATTAAACATTTTTTGACAGTGAGAACAAAAGGTCTCACTATCTTGCCCAGGCTGGCCTCAAACTCCTGGCCACAAGCGATCCTCGTGCCTCAGCCTCCCAAAGTGCTAGGATTACAGTCATGAGCCAGTGGGATCAGTCACCAACAGCGGGCTTCTTTAGGGCACAAAAAAGAGATGAGTGGAGGCCAAAGATAAACAGTACCAAGTGGGAGATGGAAATGTGCTGCTTTTTAGATTTTGCAGGATGTTGGGATCCACTTTACAAGGGCAAAAACACCATGAAACATAAACACTAATTATGAGGACGATCTTATCTTTCCCCTCTCCTCCAGTCAGTGAAGGTAAAAGCAGGTAGAATTCAAGTATATCAGTTTTTTTCTGCTCATTTTACCAATGAGGAAACAGGGCTTAAGAATTTTTCTTCAAATCACTCTGATAAGTAGTTATTTAGGTTGATGCAGAAGTAATTGTGCAATTACTTTAGTTATTCAGGTTGGTGCAAAAGTAACTGTGCAATTAGAGATGGGGTTTCACCGTGTTAGCCAGGATGATCTTGATCTCCTTGTGCAATTGTGTAATTACTTTTGCACCAACCTAAATAGAACCGGCATTCCAACCAAGAGCTGAATCCAGGCATTCCAGAATAGTCCTCTCCCCCCAGCGATGTTCATATCTGACCACAGGACCCTCCCTTTCCTTCTCTGCCCTCCCAAAGGATCACAGCTCACTGTCCCTCGCTATGAGGTTCACCCCTTCAGGAGCCTCAGATTTGCTGAACGTGCATCTTGAACATTTGTCCACATTGGCTGACTTTTGTTTTGTTTTGTTTTGTTTTATTTGAGACAGAGTTTTGTTCTTGTCGCCCAGGTTGGAGTGCAATGGCACGATCTCAGCTTACTGCAACCTCTGCTTCCCAGGTTCAAGAGATTCTCCTGCCTCAGCCTCCAGAGTAGCTGGGATTACAGGCACCTGGCACCACGCCTGGCTAATTTTTGTATTTTTAGTAGAGATGGGGTTTCACCATGTTGACCAGACTGGTCGCGAACTCCTGACCTCAGGTGATCCACCCGCCTCGGCCTCCCAAAGTGCTGGGATTACAGGCATAAGCCACCTTGCCCAGCCGAGGTGTGGATGTTTAATCATCATTTTGGGTATTGGTTAACTAGACAGTTAACCAGTCTCTGGGGGCAGTTAATAGCTCTGCTAGTTCTTTTAAAGGAAAATGAATTTTCCAGAAATTATGCATTCTTGTCCCTTTCCCTGTCTGTATAGCTGGAGTGGAATGTGGCGGGGTGGGTGGGGGGGGGCAGGCGGGCATCGTGATGTCGTGGAAAATGGACAACGTTCAGAATCAGACAGAGCTGCCTTGGTATTTCAGAGCCATTATTGTAAGAATGAAATAAGGCTATACATGAACATGAGATAATTTTTGCAAAGCTCTAGGCATGTCTTAATAATGGCTGACACTTATTAAGTGCTTCTGATTGGCCAGGCACATAGCTGAAACCTTACATCCCTTATCTCATTTACCCAGTTTACCACCCCAGGAGGTAGAGGCTATTAATATTAACATTTGGTAATGAGACAATGGAAAATCACAGAGGAGATGGTGTCACAGCTGGTGAGTGACGGAATTGATTTTTGGAGCCAGGTTTCAAAGGCTGTGGTTTCACCATTACACTATGAATAGTAGTCATTATTATTATGGCTACTATCATGATGTCTATTATGATCTCATAAAAATAAGAGTGTCATATATTTAATTTCTTCTATAAGTAGGCTCCAGGCCAGAGCCATTTCACAATAAATGCCTTCGAATATGTAGAACATCTCCTTGGTTCTGATTCTCTGCTTACCAGGCAAAGAATAGACTCAGAACCAGGAAGGAGGTTCAGGAAAGAAGACTCAAGGAAATTCCTAGAAAAAAGACAGACCCATAACTTCTTCCCTGATATTGAAAAAAAAAAAAGGCCTTATTTATGCTTGTTCATAGTTTACAGTTTCATTTATATATTCCTGTTTGGTTTTACGCCCCATCCCCTTCCAGTTGACTGGGTAAGAAATCATAATAAGTAACACACGTGTGCACCTACTATACACCAGGTGCCATTCTAAGCATTTATGTTTTTTTTTTTTCTGAGACCGAGTCTCGCTCTATTGCCCAGGCTAGAGTGCAGTGGCACGATCTCAACTTGATGCAACCTCCTCCTCCCAGGTTCAAGCAATTCTTGTGCCTCAGCCTCCCAAGTAGTTGGGGTTACAGGCACCCGCCACCACGCCTGGCTAATTTTTGTATTTTTGGTAGAAACGTGGTTTCACCATGTTGGCCAGGCTGGTCTTGAACCCCTGACCTCAGGTGAACCACCCACCTCAGCCTCCCAAAGTGCTGGGATTACAGGTGGGAGTCACTGCGCCCAGCCACATTCACGTGTTTTATCCTCTTTAGCTATCTAAATGACTTTACAAGGTGCCTAATGTTATTTTTTATTTTTTTATTTTTTGTTTTTTTTTGAGACAGAGTCTCGCTCTGTCGCCCAGGCTGGAGTACAGTGCATGATCTCTGCTCACTGCAAGCTCTGCCTCCCGGGTTCACACCATTCTCCTGCCTTAGCCTCCCAAGTAGCTGGGACTACAGGCGCCCACTACCACGTCCGGCTAATTTTGTTTTTGTATTTTTAGTAGAGACGGGGGTTTCACCATGTTAGCCAGGATGGTCTCAATCTCCTGACCTTGTGATCTGCCCATCTTGGCCTCCCAAAGTTCTGGGATTATAGGCGTGAGCCACCGTGCCCGGCCTGAGGTGCCTAATGTTATAATGAGGCAAGGTTATTAATACAAGGAGGAAATTGAAGCTTAGCCAAGTCACTGATTAACTCAAGGACACAGTTAGACATTTACTAGCTGACCCCAGAGATAAAGTTCCTAACTATTATTATGAATTGCACTCTCTTCAACAAGTCTCAGTGTTGTGAGCTAAGTTCTTTGCCTGGCGGCTTCATGATCATTTTATAGCCCACCCCCTACTATTGATGTTGGCAATGAACTGGACCAGTGGCTTCTCCGTTAACTATGCTTCCCCATGGCACGTGCCAGGGGCACCTGGGCAGGGGAGGGGTGTTGGCAGTGACACCGTCCATTGTTAGTTGATTTCCATACTCCTCGTTATTTGCTGTTTTCCATACTTGAATTCCACGAAAGATTTCAAAGGAAGAAAGTGTTCAGGTGAAGATGGAATGGGAACACTACTAAATACAGACCAGTCAAAATTATAGAGGGAATTAGGAACTACATACGTGTGGGCATCTGCTTGCAAAATGGGCCTATTCATGGTGGCTTCAGGCAGCTTGAGACTAAGACTTAGAACCAGCAAATACCCGAAACTCCTGGAGACACAGTCACTAGTTTTGTTGTTGTTGTTGTTTGTTTGTCTTTTAGGCAGAGTTTCCCTCTTGTCACCGAGGCTGGAGTGCAGTGGTGTAATTTCAGCTCACTGCAACCTCCACCTCCCCAGTTCAAGTGACTCTCCTGCCTCAGCCTCCCGAGTAGCTGGGACTACAGGCATGCGCCACTATGCCCAGCTAATTTTGCATTTTTAGTAGAGACAGCGTTTTGCCATGTTGTCCAGGCTGGTCTTGAACTCCTGGCCTCAGCTGATCCACCTGCCTCAGCCTCCTAAAGTGCTGGGATTACAGGCGTGAGCCACTGCGCCTGGCCTGCAGTCACCAGTTTTTAATGTTCTAAAGCAGCTTACTACTACCCATGTTTGTATGGCCCGTGAGCTAAGAATGGTTTTTGCATAATTAGATGGTTGAAAAAAAAATTGAAAGAAGAATATTATTTGTGACCTGTAAAAAAATGTGAAATTCAGATTTCAGCCTCAGAAAATAAAGTTTTATTGAAACACAATCATGCCCATTTGTTTATATTGCTTCAATTTCCTGATTATAACATTAGGCTCCTCATGAAGCCATTTTGAGAACTAAAGAGAATAAAACATGTTGATGCCACTATCACAGGGTTCAGTATTTGCCACAGAGACAGCAAAGCTGAAAATATTTACTCTCTGGCTCTTTAAGAACAATTTTGCTGGTCCCTGGTTTAAAGATTTCTGTCCCAAGAAGGAAAAAATGGAAAGCAAAGGGGAGTTTGGGCCTTCCTGGGATAGAAGACATAATCTAGACTGGTGTTTCTAAAGTAGATAATACTGGCTTCTGGGGCAAATCTGGGTTGCAGACTGTTTCATTTTGTGGTTTTATCTGTGTGTGTTTGTTTTACCTGCAATACTCTTTTGCATATTTTATTTTTAAAAATTAAGCTTCTGCATTTTATTTTATTTTTATTTTATTTTGAGATGGAGTCTTGCTCTGTCACCCAGGCTGGAGTGCAGTGGTGCGATCTCAGCTTACTGCAATCTCCACCTCCTGGGTTCAAGTGATTCTCCTGCCTCAACCTCCTGAGTAGCTGGGATTACAGGCGCCCGCCACCACGCCCGGCTAATTTTTGTATTTTTAGTAGAGACAGGGTTTCACCATGTTGGCCAGGCTGGTCTTGAACTCTTGACCTCAGGTAATCTGCCTGCCTCGGTCTCCCAAAGTGCTGGGAGGACAGGCGTGAGCCACCGCCCCTGGCCTATGCTGCTGCAATTTAAAATTCTGAATATTTCACATTAAAAACTGATTTGCAGTTTCTCTTCAAAAACGGGGACCTCTGTCT